ATGCCATTTGGGCTTTCTACATACAATGAAGCCCACCAAGTAGAGAAAAGCAGATTTGGAAATGCCAGCCAACTGGGAAGAACGCTGTACAGGAGGGTTGGTAAATGAACAAGATGAAAGTTTAAAAATCTAATTGGATCCCTCCTTTCTGACGCTCATCATCTGTCATGCTCTCGTGAGGTTGTCATAAAATAGTGTTTGTGCTTATTTTGTGCTGTAAATCTAGAGATTCTACTCCGTAAATGAGGAGATCAAAAAGAGATAGAACATCTCTTGTGGTGTTTTATAACACACACGCATATATATAAACTTTCACAGAGTGGCTGCTCTCTTTCTTCAATCACCATTCCATTATAAGAAGTCTTGCAATTGAAATGAAAATGTTTGAGAGTTGGAGGGTGTTAAGCACTGAGTCTAGGCCAGGGTGCTTCCCTTACTGGGTCAACACTTCCTGACTTTGTGTATTCTACTGCCATGGGTTAAGAACTAGGTAGAGCCACCTCTCACTAAACATTTCGAAGAATTTGTCTTGTTAATAGGCAAAACAGGGAGCCATCACGTTCGTGTGACCATGGGCCCCAGATGAGGATTCCTGTCCAAGTTTCTAAGCTGTCACTGTCTGAATTTTTTTCCTCGAAGGAAACTCATTTCATTTGGGTGAGCAGTGCCCTCTTTCTAAAAACCTGCAGAACTGCCACTTGGGGGATCTCCATCACCTGGCTGTGATATCATCATCACATCATCTACCTGCTTGATTTTACTCAACTTAATGGGTGCCGAAGTCCTAGAGCTCAGCTCTGTTTCTGGAAGTCAGACAGAAGGCTCTGACTTTCTATCCTCTGCTCTAACTTGCTAACAAATAAGCTTGTTACTCACTGTAATTTAAAAAAAAAAAACCCTTGTAGTCAATAGATTTGTCAGATTTAAATTTGTGCTTTCAGAAAATGTATTCTTGAAGTAAACTAAAGCTTATCTTTGGCACTATAGTTACATTTGTATTTTTAAAAACGATTTCTTTTTAGAGTGCTTTTGGTATTTTTGAGCTTTAAATGGCTTGCGCCGTTGTGAATTTACGCTAATTTTGTGGCTCAAACAGGGGTGGGGCATATATTAACATTGGACTTTAAATGTCCTTAAAACTGGCTTACTTAAAGTGGGGGTGCTAATATTGTATTAACATTGCTTTAAAGTGAGCAAAATTGTTGTAAAAACTTTGGAGGTGAGCAAATAAATAAATAAATAAATAAATAAATAAATAAATAAGTTTGAATAGTTTTTGTCTAACTTTATATCCTAAAAATAATGACAATATAAGATTACATTTCAATTCCAAGACTTATTATTTTTAAATAACAGAACTACAAAATATCATATTGTCCTTAATTAGAAAAAAATTATATATTGACTCTCTGGAGCCTACCACTTGAGAAATAATTTTACAAGTGTACTTGGCTATGGCTTGAGAGAGAGCTCAGCAGTCAAGGGTGCTTCCTGCACAAGCATGAGAATTGAGATTCCAGTATCACAGGCCAGATGTGGTCCTGTAATCACACGTGCAATCACAGCACTGCTAGGGGCTGAGACAATAGAATAGGATCTCTGCTGCACGCTAGCTGCCAGCCTAGCTGAAAATAAACAACAAACAAAACAACAACAAAAAATCACACCAAAGGCTCTGGGATCATCAAGAGATCTTACCTCATAAGGAATAAAGCAGAAGATGATAAATGAAAACACATTACACCCTCCTCTGGACTCCATGTATATGTACACGCACATGCACACCACACACATGCGTCACATATATACACTCATACACAGGATCAATAAAAAATTAATGTCTCAATTTTCAACAGTACCATGCTTCAAAAGCCAAGAGAGCATTTTCATGTTTCACTAAACTACAGCTCTGCATGAATTAGCAATGAAATATGTATAAAATAACTTCTTAGCTTCCAAGGGCATCAACCCCCTCCCCTTTCATAGCTAGAAAATTAGGATTAAAATTTCTGGGCTTTTTTTGGGGGGGGATATTAACTGATTTAACTCCTTGGGGCTAAACTTACAGGTGACCATAATATCCATAATTACATTTATATTGTTTATTGTTGTAATGCAATATTACTATGGGATATTTAATGTCTTTAGTGAGGGTTCTACATAGGGATGGATATGAACACAGGAAAATCAAATTGTAAACATGTCCTAATTTTGCTCATGGTCTTCTGTTGCCTAAGATTTAGGATACAGATGATAGCAATACTCTATGAAGTATGAAAAAACATTCACAAACATATGTACAACCAAAATATGTCCTGAGATTACATCTTCCTCAGTGATAAGTAACCCAATTTAACAATGTACACCTTCTGTAAGTGTCAAATTAAGTTTTAAAGAATTTCTGCAGTCATATTATCTTAGGTTGAAGATCCATCAACCCTTTTGTCAGAAGGACTCCCCCCTCCCAGCAACTAAGTTTATAAATTATGAGATGTGGGGACATAAATCTCTCTCTCTCTCTCTCTCTCTCTCACGTGTGTATATATATGTATATGTATATATGCGTGTATATTTATACATACATACATACATATATATCCTAGTACAGTTAACTTTTCCAGAAAGAGTTTACAAGCAAGGTAGTGGACCTTTTGCACAGAAGGCCTTCCTTCCATAGGTATCTGCTTTCCTTCTATTCTGACACTGCATCTGATTGTACTCAAACTTTATGGGACAAGGTTTTACTGACGCAGGCAAATCTAGTGCAAAATGCAATGCTACCTCAGGCTAGGTGGACCAGAGGCTTACAGGAAGCTTCTGGGCAAAGGTTACTTAGTGACATAGAACCTAGATATAAGGAATTTTTTTTACCCAATTTCTTGTAAAGGAATGTAAGGGTACTTCAGGCAGAGCCTTGTGCAGTAATGATCATGTACACAGTATCTCTCCTTGGTTGTAAACATATTCCAGAATGAAATGGAAGCCCAATAACACATTAGTGAACAGAGTTTCATATCATTTCCAGATGAAGCAAGAACTACTTGGTAATGTTTCATTGAACCTAGCAAAATCAACAACATGCAAACAAATTCAGTTCTCCAACTGGTAGAACCCTTTACCAAAACCAAGAATCTCATAAAATTAAATGTATTTTAAAAACATGGTTAATGTTGAAGTCAGATTCACAGGTCTGTGAGGAGTCAGGGTGCTCTGGAACCCACCCAAACCACTGTATTTACAAGCAAAGGTGACAGGAATCGAAGAAACCTCTGGGAAGCTTTTTCCTACTGTCAAGTATGGGTTATAACATGGATGTTTACACAGAGTTCATTGCTACCTTTAATGAATTAAAATTTTACTTGCATAGTTAACATTACAGCAACAAATGTTGTTGACAAATGCAATCCACATTTAAAAAAAAAAGCTCTTTGGAATTTTCTAGTTTTTTGAGAAGGATGCTGAAAACAAAATAATCAGTGCTCTCCATATCTGGTACTTCTATTATATTGTTTGTTTGCCAAATTATAACTGAGTCTCCCTTGACTTGTTTTTTATTATTTTTGTTTTGTTTTTCGAGACAGAGTTTCTCTTTATTGTTTTGGAATCTGTCCTGGAACTAGATCTGTAGACTAGGCTGTCCTCGAACTCCCAGAGATCCGCCTGCCTATGTGATGGGATTAAAGGCGAGCGCCACCAAAGCCCAGCTCTTCTTTGATCTGTGCCCTTTTGTGCTCGTCTTGGCGACTGGTGTCCCATAACCTCCGCCAGTGCCTGGCACTTAATAGGAATTCAGTAAATACCTGCCTGCCTATTTTAAAACGCGGGCCCCTTCACTTTTAGAGACACACGAACTATTTTGTAGAAAACTTCTGCTTACAGCAGTTAGTGGGCTGCCTAAGAGACAAGAAGGAAATTCACATGGTCCAGCTGGTGTTTGCCCATGGGGATGTTTACAGTCAAGCTCCGAGTTCCAGGCTTGAGCACTTCTGATACCTGGCAGTATGTATGCTGCAGGCTAACTGCTACCCTCACCAACTGCAGCCTGAAGGTGGTACCAGGTGCATAAAAAGGGGGTGAGATTAGGAAGTGATGGGACCTGCTTCTGCCCCTGCTCAGTCACTTGCTCGCCCACTCCGCACCAGACCTCAAACAGCATGTTACGGGCTTGGGTTATGAAGATGAACAAAGGCTGTGTGTACCATAGGAGAAAAAAGTAAAACCTAAATACTTGGTTCCTTCGCAGGGGCGGGGTTTTGCGTGAAAGGGACACATGGGTTTCGCGACGCTGGAGAAGCCTGTCCCACGGTCCCACCCACCGCCCCAAGATGGCGACTGCCGCAAAGCCCATCCGCCGCCAGCTCTGCGCTAAGAATCCCACGCCTCTTTTCCAGGCTGTCGCCTGGCCCGAACTGCAGAGGACCCCGCGGCGCCCAAGGCTGCCGAGGTACCAGGGCTTTCGGGCGGGCTGCGTCTCCGCCGGGTGCTCCCCCGAGGACGGACGCTGGGAGGCAGCACTCGCTCGGAGCCCCGCCCCCCCCCCCCCGGCTCTCGCCGGCGTCGCGGCCTTCTGACGCCAGAGTGGGCGTGCCAGCGCGACCGTTACGTCGCCGCGCGCGGGCAGTGGCGACTGCGTCGGCCTGAGGCGGACTTCGTTCTCAGAGTAGTTTCCTGGGGTGGCGGGAGGAAGCCGTGGGGCCGCCGGAGCCCGCGGTGGCGGTGACGGCGCGCCTGCGCGCTTCCGCTTCGCCCTGGGCCCAGCGGCGGCGGCCGGGCCCCGCGGAGCCCGCCAGGTGGGTGGCGGCGGCGGCGATGGCAGCCCCGGGGCGCGTGCGCGCGCGCGTGGGGGCCGGGCGGGAGGGCGGAGTCTGGGCGGCGCGGCTCCCGCTTCCCAGGGACTGCTGGGGCGTTGCGGGGAGGCGGGCCAGGGGGCTGCACCGCACGCTCCGAGCTCTGTCGACCTCCCTTTCTCTCTCCCCGCCAGCGTCATTTTGGCCTCTTCGCGTCTCTGAAGACTGTCCCCGGAGCCACTTGGGAAACATGAGTGGCAACGACTTAAGCGGGAACGACGAGTTTGACGAACAGTTGCGAATGCAGGAATTGTACGGAGACCCTAAGGACGCTGACACCCAGAATGAGCCCACCGGAGAAACCGACTCTTTGGGACAACCACCGGATGACACTCCCTACGAGTGGGACCTTGATAAGAAGGCTTGGTTTCCCAAGGTAAGAAAGAGTGGCTTGACTGCCACTGCGGAGCGGGGCTGTGGGGTTCCCTGGACACCCTTGCGGGACACCCCGCTTACATTTGCTCTTCTGAAGTACTAGGTCCTTGAACCGGTGGTGGATGGCTCGTCTGTTCACTTGGTTGCAGTACCGATGTATAAAGGAGAGAAAATCTTACGGTGGTGCCTTAAATGTTCTTTATGCCTTATTAATTTTTTGTGAAGGTCACGGTTGTTATATTGATGACTGCTTTTATTGCAAGAAGGAAAAACACCAAGGAAAACACATTAGTAACAGTTTTATCCTGTATAGCCAAACTTATGTTTAGCGCACATGCTGTGGATGAAATGCAGATTGTTGATTTTCGGGGTGAATAACCAGCTTTTTACCTCACTCTGTTGAATAAACTTTCCTTGCATCTTGGTTTATTTTTCTACTAAATTTCGTTCCAGGGCATCTAAGTTTGAACCTTGTAACCACAGGAATACGACTGGGAAAGCACAGAAAATGGTTGGAAAACATCTCCACATTGGTTTTGAGTACTTGGAAATAAAACAACTAGTGTTAAACCTGGAGGTGTAAACTGTATGGAGAAAGTACCCTGTTAGTCTTAGCCTCCAAGGGGCATTAGTATAAAAGGATGCTAACAGCACATCAAGTGACTTGAGGGCCAATTCCACAAAACTTGTCTCCATTGTGTAGACGGATTGTTAGTTTAAAAATTATTTCAGCTATCGCAAGCTCCCCAAATTGTTAAAATTTATTATCCCATTTCTGAACTTGTAATGCCAGCTTGAATGTAGATTTGATTTCTTCTACCTTCTGAGTGCATTTCGCATTTCCACCAATACGAAAAGTTACTTGGTAACTTTATCTTTGATATTACTTAAGACCACAGTTCTTCATACTTTGGGGGGTCAGATGTTCACTTTTAGGTGTACGAAAAGTTACTTGGTAACTTTATCTTTGATGTTACTTAAAACCACAGTTCTTCATACTTTGGGGGTCAGATGTTCACTTTTAGGTGTGCCTGAAAGTGATAGACATAACTCATTTCTCCATTCAGCCATTCTGCAATAGTGCATTGCCCTGAAAAGCCAGGGCGATGGGTGTGTATCAGACTTGCCTTTAATTTTGTTCTGCCACTAAACACTTAAGTGAATCAGTGCTCAAACTAAAATGGGCATTTTGTGTTCTAACAAAGTTTCCAGCTTCATTCATAAACACAAAAATCTTAGTGTATATAGTTATTTTTGTGGACCCAAAAGTGGATTCTATGATTACTTTTCTAGGTGACTATTGGTTTTACTCTGTCTCATTATTTGATACTTCTTTTGTTTTCTGTATTGGTCACCTTAGTCAGAAAAACTGTGGAGAAGCAATAATTTATAAGATAACTAGAAAAGGTGCTAGCATCACTTCGAATTCTCTACCATACTTTTTATGTTGGCAGTTCGAGTATTATTTCATAGTTTTGTACATTTTTGTGTTACATACCTTTTATATGTGGTGACTGCTCTGACATTATATTTTGATTATTACAATTATCCTTGGCATAAACACTTGTTTGCGTCTTAGATCATATTACTGAATGTACAGCTGTATAACACATGAAGTAACCATGTCTGCATGTGTGCTGATTTAATCCATTTAGATCACTGAAGATTTCATTGCTACCTATCAGGCTAATTACGGCTTTTCTAGTGATGGTGCATCTAGTTCTACTGTGAATGTCCAGGACCCCAACACAAAGACTGTAGAAGAACCTCCACAAAGAGAAATCCCGGAAACCACTGACCCCAAAAAGAAAGGAGAAAAAAGAAAGGCTGAGTCAGGCAAGTGGGTCTGTTTTGCAAAACCTGGGTTTAAAAAGTAAATAGGGAAATGTGTGAATACATTTTATCTTTTGGAGGATTTTAATAGCATTGAAGGAATGGTAATGTGAGTTTTTACTTTTATGTAGGTGTAAAATCGTTAGGAATCGAGATAGCTTTTTCCTTTTTCAGAGACAGCCCCAAAACCTTCTCAGTCAAAAAGCTTATATATTTTGAAAGCTGGGTAGTGATTTGAGTTATACTTAGTCTTCTTAAATGAAAAGAACATTCTATAAGTTTTAAGAAACTGCCACTGCCAAGATTTCATAATGTGATTCTTGTTGTTTTTTTTTTTTTTACAAGTATTTTATTTATTTCATTTTGATTTTTTTTAGGATGGTTCCATGTCGAAGAAGATAGAAATACAAATGTATATGTGTCAGGTATTTATCCCTTTTTAATGCACTTTTAAGGTGGGTAAAATTTAGTGTTGAGATATTGTGCTAAGTGATTTTTATTTTTACTTTTTAGTGTGTTTTGTTCAGCTGTTTGTGTTAACTAGGAATTTACTTAGTCGAGAACCAAGAAAAATTATGCAATTTTGCTTGCTGTTCTATATTCCTGCCGTAGATAATTTACATCAATTTGTCTCATCGGATTTAGTGAAACAAAGTATAGTATAATTGTGATATATTTTTAATATACAAAATATGAATGATCTTCAGAGTAAAAGATAGGAAGTTTTTCCATTCATTTACAAAAATCAACTTTATACTCACCTAAGTTGTAGGATTCTTATTGGTAAAATGCTAAACAACTTTTACCTTCATTGAATACTTTAAAGTTGTTTTCTTGAAATTACAGGTCTGCCTCCAGACATCACAGTGGATGAATTCATACAGCTTATGTCCAAATTTGGCATTATTATGAGAGATCCTCAGACAGAAGAATTTAAGGTCAAACTTTATAAAGATAATCAGGGAAATCTTAAAGGAGATGGGCTTTGCTGTTATCTGAAGGTTAGTATATGGTCAAATAAGTCTTTTATCTCTCCAATTTTAACTCAGGAACTAGGGCTAGAATCTTTTACAGATGCTAACCTAAACCAATAACCATCCAAAACAGAATAGAAAACAGAAACTTCAGACTCTGACTGTGTATAGGTGATACCGGCAACTTTTCTAATTATCTCCACTAAGGATGCAAATACATGACACAAAAGAAGTATTGAGTAAGACAGAGTTAGCTAACTAACACTAGGGTTATTTGCTTGTCTTAAGAAACTGTTTGCTGCAAGGTCAAAATGTTATGTAAATATGTGATGGAGGGGCTTTTCTTAACTACAAATAGTCTCACTGTGAAGATTTCATCATCAGTGCATGTAGTCAGCAGTTTGAAAATCTGAGAACACAAAAATGCCAGTAACATTATTTGCCCATTGGAATGGGTTTTAGCAAAGTGTAGCTTGCCACCTATTTTTGCAAATAAAATTTTGTTGGAATGCAACTACATTCACTTAGGGCTTTCTGTGTGGCTGCTTTTGTGTTTCATCAGTAGCATTGAGTGGTTGCAGCATCAACCTCTGACCTTCAAAGACTGAACTATTTACTTACTGGCTCTTTGCAGAAAGAATTTTCTAAGCCCAAATTAGACTGGAAAGGAGATGGTGAATTATATTTACTGCTTTAAACACTACAGAAGAGAATTAAAATGGTTGTTTGCAGAATTTTGTGTGGTCTTGTTACTGTAAATTGCACAGAGAATGCTTACTGTGAAAGAAGATTGTCATTTATGGAACACCAGTCACCTTAGGAGCGTGCATTAACCCTTATTGTCTGGCACAAAGCAAATGGCCATAATTATGACATAGGAATTTTTCACAGAACCTGAAAATATCTACAAATCAAAGCAAAAAATATAATAATACAACTAACTATCCTGGGTGTGTAGTTAGTGGACAGTATACAATGGGATCAGAAGACAGTAGGCTTAAGCTGGCAAGGTTTGGGGTTATCGGCTTTTAATCTGTTTCTTAAGCAAGATGGGTTAGTGGATCCTAACAAAGTCATGACAGTTTTGTATGTTTATATGTAATACTTGAGAATTTTATGAGCCCAAAGATGACTTAAAACCCATGAAGTGTATTTTTCAAAGAGGAGGGTGTTGATGGATGTTTTTTAAAAAAATATTTTCTTTTATTTATTTATATTTATATGTGTGTGAATTTATGTACTCTTCTGTTGCCTGCAGAGACCAGATGTTGCATCCCCTGGAGCTAGAATTATATATTGCTGTGAGCTACCCACTATGAATGCTGGGAACTGAACTTGGGTTCTCTGGAAAAGTAGCAAGGGCTCTTAACTGTTCAGCCATGTTTTCAGCTCCATGATTGGATTTTTAAAGAAAAATATTGCTTTGTAAAACACTTTTATATAAAACTTACATCCCACGAAAGAACAAATTGTCAAGCCTTGCACTTTAGAAAATAGCATTAATTATTCCACGATCCATATTTGATTTGAGCAGCTGACATTAAGTGGTCCCTTGTGCTTTCCTCATACCTTTAGATCTTTGACTCTGTTTGAGTAAGGGTGATAAGTACTCTGTTTGTGTAGGACTTGGAATCCATAAATGCATTTAATATATAAGCCATTAAATAATTACCTTCTACTTAGTATGTTATTATAGATTTACATTTTAGTTTGATGAAGCTGAACATTAAAGTTTGGCCGTATTATTTCCAGTTCCTTGAATCATCCACTGTTAAGTAGATGTTACAGAGTTTTAAAATTGTTATGTTCCACAGAAATTATTCAAATCTACTCTTCTAATTCTACAGATGAGAAATTTGGGCTCCCAAAGACAAAATTAACCAATGCAGTGCTCTTGTCTTTCCATATATTTTTTTATCTAATTTTGTCGGGAACTGTGTGATAAAAATATTATTTTAGCTTTTTACAGATGGAGAAATTGGGGTTCCAAGGGCTAGTTACTTTCCTAAGTTAGTGCAGGTGTTTGAGGTTTAGCTGTGTTTTGAACACAACTTTTCTGATGTATATTCTAAGACTCTTTATCTCAAAGTAGATAGCTGGCATTATGTATTTCAAAATCTTAAGTTTCATTTCAGTGCTCAATTTACTGACTATATTTATTTACCATTATAAAGAAAGAATCTGTGGAACTTGCTTTAAAACTTTTGGATGAAGATGAAATTAGAGGCTACAAATTGCATGTCGAGGTGGCAAAGTTCCAGCTGAAGGGCGAGTATGATGCCTCAAAAAAGAAGAAGAAGTGCAAAGATTATAAGAAGAAACTGTCTCTGCAACAAAAGTTTGTATTATTAATTTTTCTTTGTTTGAAAAGTTTCATGCATATTTTAAAGCAGGTTTTTGGTACTATTTAGTTTTATACCATCAAACAAGTCTATAGATAATTCTAAAATAATTTCATTGGCCAATCAGGAATTCCCAGCAATCTCTCCCATGGGCTGATTTTGGCAGTGAGTAGGGTTTTTTTTTTTTTTTTTTTTTTTGTTTTGTTTTTTTTTTTTTTTTCTGGAGTGATTTCTTTTAAATGTGTCCTAGACTTCTTTATTTAAACCAAAAGAATGAATGATGGGCTCAATCTTCCCTCCATCACCTCTTCCAATACTTCCTGTCCCCACCCTTTATGTTTCCAATCCCAATTAATTTTGGAGGTGATTATATTTGAAGTAAAAGCAAAGTTAATTGAGCTCAGTGTTGTGCATCAAATGAAGAGTTAAAGCTTATGTTCCAGAACCTTGACTTCGCTTCATTTTTAGAGTAGGTTGAAATCAATTGCCATGATCTGTATTTGTTTATACAGGTTTGTAAAGGAAAGTTAGAAATGATAAAGGTTTTATCATTGCATTTACTGTATTGTTGTGTGTGTGTGTGTGTAGGTGTGTAGTCACATTCCTACTAATTTGCTGTTAACATATTTAAAAATGCTAGTTTTAGTAAATTAGTCAAATTGATAAATAGTTTTACCAGTGGATAATGCTAACATTCTAACATTATGCTTAAACTCATGATAAAATGATCACCAAATTTTACAAACAGTATCAGGAAAATGTAACATTACAGCAGAGAGCCAATAGTAGTACACCATTCATTGCAATATATAGTATACTAAATATGGTATACTTTCAGTGTGTTCTTTGCTGTATTATACAAATTTAAAATGGTTTTTGGTTTCTTTATCTGTGGATTCATTTTACCAAACACGTACCATTTTTTTCTTGTCAATAGTGTGTGTACAGTTCAACATGACAGATACTTACATAGTATTTACATTATATAAGGTATTATAGTACTTGAGTGACAATTTAAAGTGTTTAGGAAGACAGATGTAGGTTGTAAGTAATGCAGTAGTGTCCTGTATTAGTGTTCTCTTTGGCCAAAGATTTTGGTGTCCAGCTGGGCATGCATGTTCTGGAACCAGTCCTCTAATGATGACTGAGGGATGCCTCTTTGTCATCTTAGAAAGTTGTACATACTAAGTCAATAGGAGGCTTTAGAAGTCTAATTGCAGTATGCATCTAGTAAGATGAATTACTTTGATAAAGGACACATGTGGGGCATTTCAGATACTGAGTATGTATTTTTGCCCCCTGCCTAGAATTTTTTTAACTTCAGAAAGTTTTGTGGAACTATGTTAGAATCAGATAATGACTATTAATTACACTTTCACTAAAAGATTACATCCATCCCTTTTTCTCTCCCACAAATCTGAAGCCAGATTTCAGTTTACTGTTACTTTTTCTAACATTAGGCAGTTGGATTGGAGACCTGAGAGGAGAGCTGGACCATCCCGGATGCGACATGAGCGAGTTGTCATCATCAAAAATATGTTTCACCCCATGGATTTTGAGGTAGGAAATTATGTTTTAACATCTAAAAATTTTGGTATGTTTTTTTACAAGAGTGTCCAAAGCTTACCATGCCCTATCTTTGTCAAGGCATATTCCTATAATCATAGGCAGGATAGAAACAAAAAATAAACCGGTGTTTGCAATTCTGTGTGTTTAGCACAGTGTTCTTTTGATTGTGTCCCAGATAAGACAGTTAATATTCATACTGTGGCTCAAAATCATAGTTGCTTGCTATCTGAATTTTAAGACTGATGGGAACGGCCTTTGGAATTGTAGTTCAGTTCAGTACGCACCAGCTGATTTTGATGAAGAATACCAGTTCCACACTTGCATCTGAAAACTTTGTGTTATTTATTAATAAAAGTTTGATCCTTAAAGAAATACGATGTTTGTAGTAGAGGTTGTTTTTCAGGACCACATTTTCACCAAGTTCTTTAGTGGATATTAATATCCATGTAAAATTCCCAAACCAGCAAATAGAATGTTAAGTGAATAGTAATTGTCAAGATAGATTACTCTGCATTGTGCCTCTGATATCATCTGTTAGTGTAAATAGATACTATCAGTAATGGAAATACAACATTTTTTTTCTCTGTCTGGTTCTGAAATTAATGATGGCATGTTGCACACAAAGAAGAAAATGTTCATAATGTAAAAAATGAGATTTGGAAACATTCTAGTTGCAGGCTGTGTTTAATCTTATTCTTTTTGTTAACACTGACAACAGTGTCAAAATGGTAGTTTTAGTGTAGCCCCTTTGGACAGTTTAACCTTATCTCCATACCTCCTGATGTGAGCTTGATGAGTTCCCGTTAGCAAGAAGGACAACAGTTGTCTTACTTTTTTGTTCATGGTTTCTGAACCAGAACCTTAAGTTATGTCAATCTAGACCTGCACAATCTAAAATAGACTCTAGCCACCACAAATTATTATTAAAACTTTAAGATTTACCTCCTTAGTTAACTAGATGTGTAGTAGCTGCAATGTTGGGTAATACAGATGCATAGAACAATGGTATAATCATTAGTGCTGGGCGCTATGGGTATAGATGTTCTATAAGTTCTCTCCTTTTTTTTTTTTTGTAGATAGGGTTTTACTAGCCCAGGATGGCTTCAAACTTTCCATTCTCCTGTCACTTTCCATGAGTTGGGACTCTAAGCATGGCCTGGTGTGTTATATAATTCCTGAATGAAGGGTTCCAGAGGAATTTTAGGGACTGTTTAGTTTGACCGAAGACTGGTTATGAACCTAAACAACAGACACCAACATTAAGCTTTTTAGAGGAAAACAAAAGCAGCATTATTGAATTAAACTAAAGTATCAGAAAGAACTTACATTGGAAGGATGGAGTATATTTTTATTTTAAATACTTGAGTAATGTTAGAAGTTACATACTTACACATACTCTGTGGTGTCAGCGCAAATAATGAAGGATAATTATATAATGTAACTTCTGGTGTATTCAGTGTTCAGTTTGAAGCCTTACTTAAAAAAAAAATACTTTGCCTGGAAAGTTTGAATATCAAGAAATGAATTAGAACTCCAACATGAAGGGAGATTTCTTTTTGTGCACATCAGCATAGTCCAGTAGAAATATACAATGTGAGAAGCTACACGTAAGCTTATTATTTCTATAGTGTTAGTGAAAAACAATGTGTAGCTAGGGAGATTAATTGTAATAAGGATTTTCTCAGTAACCATACATGGTCATTCTCTACCACCTTAGTCAGTGTAAAGTTCAGAAAGTTCCATGTATTGCTTAATGGGTTAAAGAATCTTAGAGAAGGGAAGCTTTAGGCTTCTGTAGAACAGAGGTGATACATTCATTTCTGACCTTTTACATGCCCTGAAGCTTAGAGTTCTGTTCTTCCTTACTTGGAGTCAGTCTTGAATCCTTCCACACTTCTGGGAGGAGAACCATCTAAACTCGAGACCAGCAATGGTACCAGCAATCAGCAATGCCTCAGTGTTGTATTTTTGTTTGTTTGTTTGTTTGTTTGTTTTAAAGTACATTCATGTGGGAAAGTAACAATATTTTCTGTGTACTTTACAACAACACATACACACATATGCATAAGTATATAGATTTCCTTTCATACTGTGGACCTTCTCTCTGCCATACTTCTCCATTTCCTCTGCAATATGAGATGTCATCTAACTTAATTCTGAGTTTTTTCATTTATTACTGTAGTCTGCAGACAAATGTACCCAACTTTAAGCAAAGCACTGTTTTTCATAAGTTAATTTGCCACAGTAATAAATTTGGTTCTTAAATTAAGAAGGAGGGAACTCCATTTTAATCATGTTTGTTTTTGCAGGATGATCCATTAGTGCTCAATGAGATCAGAGAAGACCTTCGAGTAGAATGTTCAAAGTTTGGACAGATTAAGAAGCTCCTCCTGTTTGATGTAAGTTCATGGCTTGCACCTGTAAGGCCTGACATCTTTCCAAGCTGAGGAAGTGACTTAGATGGCCCTGGATTTTAGATTGGTGTTTTTATATCGCAGGCCTGCTGTCTGTCAACAATAGTTCAGTCAGTGAACATAGTTTACAAGGCACATCTTGGATTCTTTTGATATGCCCAGTTTATTTCCCTTCCTTCTGACTTTTAAAGAATATGTAATCAAGTGAGAGCAATTAGAATAAAAATGGATGGAATATCAACTTCCTCAAAGTTCTTACCTTTCTCTGAATTATTTACCTGATCACAGTCAAAGAAAAAAAACTCTAGTTTATTATTCTCCACACTTCCAAGACTAATAGAAAGTACTTGAGTGATCACTTCTTATGATGTATTGCTGGTGTGCTGCAAGGGGCTTTATACATCTTGAGAACCCTTTGAAGTAGGTAGGTACTAGCTGTACAATTGAGGAAGCCACATCTTTTCATGTAGAAGCCCTTGCTCAGTGCTTGTTCAGCTCCTGACAGGCAGGATTTAGTCCCCAAAACACAATCAAACAATCACATGGTCTTACCTCTTGGGTAGTGTTGTTAACAGAAACACTTGCTAGGACACTGTACTGGTTCTTGCTAGACAAGATGAAGCTAAAGAAGCAGCTGACCACTGGCTGGAATAAAAGGGAAGAAAGATTTCAGAAGTCTTAGTTCAGAGTGTTAAGAGAATACTACTCTTTACTGTCTTATGAAATGTGTATCTGATTTTTTAACCTTGTCATTCAGTCCTTCTTCTTGTCTTTTTAGAGACACCCAGATGGTGTGGCCTCTGTGTCCTTCAGGGAACCAGAGGAGGCTGATTATTGTATTCAGACTCTTGATGGAAGGTGGTTTGGTGGCCGTCAAATCACTGCTGAACCCTGGGATGGGACTACAGATTATCAGGTAAATCCTGTATTTAAGGGCACGGGAACTGTTGGCATTGTCAACTGTAGATCTAGTTTGGAGGTTGGTATAATGTGTTTTGTAAATAATGTTTTGCATTAGAGGATAGAGAGATTCTTATCATTTCTCAGTTTGTAAATCTGTAATTGGGAGGTTTTAACCTCAGAATGATAAGAATAGAACAGCATTAACTAGTCCTCATCTTTCTTGTTAAAGAGAATGGACAGAGCTCCAATAGTAATGCTTTAGGAAGTGGAACATTTCAACAGTACTGGGATAGTTACATATATTTATATGATTTTATTTAAGGTATACTGTGTATACGGTTGTGTAAACAGATGTATAGTTTTAAAGACCAGAGTAAGGAAGTGCATGGATTGCTTTAGAAAAATTGCTTTATAGAACTATGATACTTGAGTCAATAGTAGAACTGTCCAGAGAAGTTATTGTTTCTTTTTGCCTAACACTCATCTTAAACTTAGTCTTTGTTTATTCACAGGTAGAGGAGACCTCAAGAGAGAGAGAGGAAAGGCTGAGAGGCTGGGAGTCCTTCCTCAATGCCCCTGAGCCCAACAGAGGCCTCCAGCGAATGGATTCCATCTGTGATTCAGAAAAGGCAGGGCCTTCCAGAGTAAGGCATTTTTCAGAGCACCTGAGCATGTCTACCACAGGTGCTCAGGAAGCTACAACTGGAATGGCTCTTGAAGAACCTATTGATGAAAAGAAGTTTGAAAAGGCAGAAGATGGGGGAGAATTTGAAGGAGATGCTCCTGAAAAAGATGCTAAAGAAGGTGGGTCTGAGGAAGATTACCCTGAAAGAGAAGGTGAAGAGGGCTTCTCCAAGATAGAGGGCGAAGAGGGCTGCTCCAAGATAGAGGGTGAAGAGGGCTGCTCCAAGATAGAAGGTGAAGAGGGCCGCCCCAAGATAGAGGGTGAAGAGGGCCGCCCCAAGAAAGAGTGTGAAGAAGGCCACCCTGAGAGCAATCTTGAAGAGGGTTATCCTAAAAAGGGGTCTCAAGAGAATGGCCCTGAAAGAGAATCTAAGAAGAAAGGCCAAGATAATTATGAAAAGAATGGCCTGGCAAAAGAGTCTGAAGACAATGAATGCAACAGAGAGTCGGAAGAGGAAGAGATTCTCAAGAAAGAACCAGAAGATGATGATGATTCAGAAAGGGAATCCGAGGAAGACTGCCCAGAAAAGCAATCTGAAGATGGCTCTGACAAGGAACTAGAAGAAAATGGTGTTAAAAAAGATTTTGACCTGGATACCTCTGACAAGGAGTTCCCTGAAAATGTTGAGAAAGAGTCAGAAGAAAATGACAGTGACAAATCAGAAGTTGATGAAGGCTTTGAAAGAGTGTTAGATGAGGAAGGCTCAGAGAGAGAATTTGAAGAAGACTTGGATGAAAAGGAGGAGGAAGAGGAAGACGACAGAGAAGAAGAAGAAGTTCTATATGAAAAGGTTTTTGATGATGAGTCTGATGAGAATGAAGACGAAGAAGCAGATGAAAAGGAGTGTGAAGATGCTGATGACAAAGAGGAAGAAGATGACACAGATGAAAAGCTCTTTGACGACTCAGATGAAAAGGAAGATGAAGAAGATAGAGATGTAAAGCAAGATGAAGATACCAATGACAAGCTATTTGAAGATAATTCCAATGAGAAGTTTTTCGATGAGGAAGAAGGTGCCAATGAGAAATTGTTTGATGATTCTGATGAGAGAGGGACTGTGGGGAATGTGAAAGAAGATGGGTCTCAGTCCACAGACAGCAGCTTTGCCCTTAGTAGTGATGATGATGATGAAATATAATCCTTTCCACTTGCTTTTTAGGGAGAGCCCTGTGTCTATTTACCTGTGCTTCAGGGTCAGTAGTAGTGTTACATCAACATGTGCATATAGTGGTAGGATGCCAACAGACTAATGTCTTGAAGGGTTTTGTTCTCACCTATACCAATGAATTTAAATATGTTTATTGTTTCTTCAGTTAAAACTTCATAGTTTCAACGCAAGTAAACTGGATACCTGTTGTTTTGTTGGATTTGTTAAATGCATGCAAAAGAATATTTTTAAAGTATTCTAATTGGAGTTTGTGATATTCAGAAATAAAGATAAATTGATAATATGCAGAAACTGAAATGTGGACTTGACTTGATAAGTGTTTTGAATCAAATATTACTTGATTCCTTACATAGCCCTTGCTTCCAGCTGTGTTACCACTTGGAGTAACCTTCCCCATTCTGCAAGTCAAAAAGTAAATGATATTTTAGATCCTTTCCCCAATCCTTGGAAGTTACCTGTTTTCTTTTTTACTTTTTCTATTGAAACCAAGATGTACAATCTGAATTCAATGTGGTCTACACCTTCAGTTATTGAAAACAGAAGGTAATCAGAGGTCAGCTATGCCAGTTAAGAAGATGGTATGTATGAGGCTTCTCTCCAGAACTATGTATACACAAGCATTACACAGCTTATATACAGTTTGGAGGTTAAGAACTTTCCCTAAGAATATACTTTGTGTTTTGTTTCAGAATCACAGTTCCTAGTATGGTGCCATGTCAGGTTGTTCCAATGCAATTATGAATCATCCTTGGTGGAGCTTTCTCAATTCAGTATTGGTGAACTTATTAATAATATAGTGTCAAGAAGTTCTGTTGAGAACACTGAATTGTTAGAGACAATCTCTAAAGGAAATGCATGCTTTGACTTCTATACACATTGGTTAGAACGTGCAGTTCTACAACATAAATCAGAGTGTACAACTCTGACAAGAGGTGGGAAGTGTAATGTTGACTAGTGGCAGCACATACCTATCATCCCAACCTTTGAGAGGCAGAGTCAGTGGTGCTGCATATCCAAGGTCATCCTGGGCTCCAATAGGTTCAGGCCAGCCTCAGCATGATAGTGAAACCCTGTCTTAGAAAGAAGAGCGTAACTTGAAAATCCAAGATTCTGCCATTAAATAGTACATCTGATCAGTTGTTTGGGGGATTAAGAAGGATTAACACTACTTTTGGCAAAGACTCCTTACAATGGGAAATAGGGCAATTCCCCATCGTTTTGGACTTGATGGTCAGCATTGCCAATGCTGCTTTGTGTGTGTGTGTGTGTGTGTGTTTCAATTAGGATATCCTTTCCATATAACCTAACCAATTTTTCCAAATTCTTATATTTGGTAAAATAAAGCAAAAAACACTCATGTTCTTTTCATATGAACACACTAGACATCACAGCTATGAAATGGTTAATAACTTGTGCAGTGGCATAAACAAATTAGTAAAGTCTAATGGGTAAAAAAAGAAAATATATACATATATGAAATTGTCAGTTGATTTAAAAGCAAACAACACTTGCTCAACAATTAAGTTTTTGCCTTTAAAGTTTCTTAAAGGCTGGAGAATTGGCCCAGAAGTTAAGAGCATTTGCTGCTTTTGCAGCAGACCTGGCTTCAATTTCTGACACCCCATGGGGGCTCACAGTCATCTATAACTCCAGTCCCAGGGCACCCAAAGCTCTTTTATACCATTCACAGGTACAGACATGCACATAATGCATGTACATTTGTAAAACACAACACAGGAATTTAAAATATTTCTTAGGACTATCCATGTTTTTCAAATATATCTCATAGACTTCAAACCCTAGTTTATGAATAGAGAGTTACCTATAGGCATGCCTTTGAGTGGTTTGAATCTCTGCTCTCTAGTCAATAAGTACTTCAGATTAAGAAATTTCAGACAGATGCAGAGACCCACAGTCAAATATTAGGCAGAGCTCAGGGAATCCTGCTGAAGAGGGGGAAGGAAAGATTGTAGGAGCTAGAAGAGTCAGAGATTACCATGAGAAAATCCACAGAAACAACTAACCTGGGTTCATAGGGGCTTCCAGAGACTAAATTGACAACCAGGGAGCCTGCATGAGATTGACCTAGGACCTCCACATGTACGTTACAGTTGTGTAGCTTGGTCTTCTTGTGGGACTCCGACAGGGGGAGTAGGACTTATCTCTGACTTTTGCTACCTTTTGGGACCCTATTCCTCATATTGAATTGCCTTGTCCAGCCTTAATAGGAAGATAAGAGCCTAGCCTTACTACAACTTATATGCCATGTTTAGTTGATGTCCGTGTGTGTGTGGGGGGGGGGCTTTCCTTTTTTGAAAAGAAATGGAGGAGTGGATGGGGGCAGAGTGGAAGTGGGTGGACTGGGAGGGAAGGAGGGAGGTGAAACTTTGGTAGGGATGTAAAAAAATAATAAATAATTTTTAAAAAATCAGGTGATGTAGAGGTGGCTCAGTAAATACTTGCCTTGCAAACATAAGAGCTTAAGTTCAGATACCCAGCACCCATGTAAAAATCCAGCCAGAACAGTTGTCTTCATGCTGGAGTGGTAGAAACAGGAAGAGCTCTGGAGCTCACTGGCCAGCCAGACTTGCCAAATAGGTGAGCTCGGGTTCAGTGAAAGACTCTGTTTCAGAAAATAATGTGGAAAGTAATAGAGGAAGACACCTGGCATGGACCTTTGACATATATATGTACCCACACATACATGGATGCAACACCCCACACATATATAGAAGAACACACTTCAAACTATTTTAGAAGATGATACTATCTTCTTTTGCACTATTACAAGAATTCCCTTGGGAGATGAAAACAACTTCAATCTCTCTTTAAAGTCTTTCAAACAAAGTAGAAGTCCATCAAAGTTCAGCTAACCTAGAGAACTGAGAAATTCATTGGGTTTACCTACAGAGCATAGGTGAAGGTCTGCTTATGTATGTGAGCGACCCCAAAGTGACGCACATGGAAAGTCTTCATGCAGCATGAATGGTGGCTTCTCCATAGTTGTATAGTTGGAATACCGACCCTCCCCCTCCCTGCCTAGTTAACCTTCCCCTTTGCATCTCCAGAGGCCCCAAAGACACTTGCAGTTAAGGCATTAGGGTAGAATTGAATCAAAATGGCTGGAAGGAGTGGCTGGAATCAGTTGAAGGTATAGTGAACCGCTGCATTGCCTTCACTGAGGGATCTTCATGGCTAACAAACAGGCCAGCTAGGGACAATCTCTCAAAAGAAAGGATAATGGATCTGCAGAAGATGGCAGCTGTTGTATTCAGAGGACAGAGTTCGACAATAGGCAATTTGGTTGAAATACTGAAATCATGGCTTTCTACAAAAGAAGTCTGATAATGGGAAAACAGGTAATTGATTCTGAGTACTCTTCTCCTTTACTTCCTTGTCAAGAAGTAGTTAATGATCTTTGTGGAGTTCCAAGTAGCCAAATCCAGCATATTTGAAGCTTTTGCCTTTTCCGGTCCTTAATGCAATCTATTTTCCTAATGTAATTATCTGCTAAGTCCTGAAGATTTAAGAGAAAAATCAGAATTAGCTCATGCTCTTATTCTGCCTTTCTTAAATAATGGAAATCTTACGTTCTAAAGGTAAACAAGTCTGGTAAGGTGGCTCAGTGAGGAAAGACGCTTGCTGCCAAGCCTAGTGACCCAAGTTCAACCCTCAGTTCCCACATGGTGGAAAGAGAGAACCAATTTTTCCAAGATGTCCTCTGGTCTCCACACACACACGCCATGTGTTTCTACCCACACACACAGTCACCCACATGTGCAAACACACACACACAGAGTCACACATACATAAAATCACATGCATACAGTCTCACTCTCTCACACACAAAGCAGTGTTTAAAAGCAAACCAAACATTTCTAAGTAATACAGAGTACTGTTTCTTATTTGTTTGAACAATGCCATCACTTGCGGAACTGCAGTCTTATACATTTGGCCTTTGGATTTGATTCATTCTTCTTGTATGTAGTCTTGAACTCTCACTCACTATGTGAGTTATGACTCCTGACCATCCTTCCTCCACGTCCAAAGTGCTGGAATGTGTGCGTCACCACACCTATCTCATTCGTTTACCCTTTGTGAACATTTATCTGTGCTTTTGGGGTTGTTCTTCTTCCTGTACTGACTCTTTCAGATACAGAGGGCAAGCGCTAAGGAAAAAAAGAATGTAATGTGATATGTGTATGTATAGATACATAAGTACAGCCTGTTCAGTCTGTATGTTTGTTTCAGAGCTGATGAATTTGAAAAAAGAGCAAAAAGGGATGTGTGGGAGGGTTTGTGGGGGGGGGAGAAAAGGGAAGAAAGAAATGATGGAATTATAATCTCAAACAGAAAAATAATTTTAAGGAGAAAAGTAACTTCTTTTAACATCATCTTGCTCAAATTCTTTTTCTCTTACCACACCTCACTTACATGACTTGACTTGGTTTATGTCTTAGAGTAAAATGCTTCCCTGCTACAACAAACAAACAAGTCTCTTAACACGCTTTCTTCATTCAAAAAGCAAACACACATTTATTTACTTGTGTAAAGTGTTTTGTTTGCATATTTGTCTGTCTTTTTTAATATATACATGCTTTTTACCCAAGGAGACCAAAAATGGATGTTGGATTTGCAGGAACAGGCAGCTGTGAGCTGTCAAGTGGGTGCTGGCCTTTGAGCCTGTTGCCTGTGGAGGAGCTGAAGTGTTCTTAACCTCTGAGTCATTTCTGTATCCCAATCACTCCTTCAATCACAAATTGCTATAACAGGTAGCCTAAGCCCCGGATTCCATCAGTCACAGGAATGACTGCTTGAGGGAAAAACAAAGCATGTTACTGTGTGAAATGGCTGTTAAGTATTCAGCCCTCTAGGTCAGTTCTAGCTTCCCTTTGAAAGCATGAGTGAGGGCATTGTATGCTTGGTGCCTCAGCCTCCATTGGAAAGCAGAAGCAAATGAGTTTAGTTTCCTAACTTGGGAATGCAGACAGCTTACAGGTTGTGCTACTGAGATGGGTTTGTCATTCCAGTTGAGGTAAAAAATGCTACCTGACATCATCTTACTATTTGCACCACCTCCAAATATTCTACCAAAATAACAATAATGACTTTAGAAGAGTCAGCTCTAATAATAAAATGGCCATTGATTTACTCTTTCCAGTTTGACCATGGCAATGAGACTTAAATAATGATAAGACTGCAACATCTTACTGTGAAAATGTCAAGTTTCAAATGAATGTCTGACATTCAAATTTGATTTTTTTTCCTTATTACAAAAGAGAGATTATACAACCTTT